TTCTCCCAGCGGCTGACACCACAGGGATGGCGGCAGGACATCACTCTTCAGGGGGGCCCCCCTTTCCACACACACACACACACATGGATTGGCAGGCGAAGGCTCTCTCGTTTGTCAACGCCGGACTGACAGAATTACTCGCCCTCAAATGAAACGATCTATCTGGGGGAGTTAAACCTATTTCCAGTGGAGCTGAGAAGAGAGAGAGGGTTTTAGGGGGGGACCCAGCAATGTCAAGAGCCCAATTAATTTGGGGCAGGGTGGGGCAGGCCCCCCTTCCCCCACCCCACCCCGTCACAAGGGCGATGAGTCGGATGTATCCGAGATCCACCAACTTTATGGACGGAGGATACCTTTATAAGCCAAAAACCTATAAAGAGGGCCGAGAAAAAAACAACACAGTGCAGGCTGAAAAGCAAAGTTCCTTGGCAAAGTGCCTCTTTTGGGGGGTGACTACAGATCCCAGAATCCCCCAGAGTCCACACATAAGCGCTTGCCCGTATTTTGGATTAGGCAAAGTGGTCTGTGGACCAACCTTGACTGGGGCGTCGCCCCTGGGTGCTGAAATGCGGAGGGTGCCAAAATACAGAGGTAAGTCTACTCGCGAGCGTTAAGAAAATACGTGGCAACAGCTCTCAGTCCTGTTCTGTTCTTCTTCCTTCCCCCCCCCCCAAACCTAAACTTCCTTTTTTCTTCACGGGTGGTACCAGCTCCAGGCAAACATTGGGGGGGCGCTCTTCCACTCACCTCTTCCCCATAGGAAAAGGATGCTGGGACTAGAGGGGGCCTAATCCTGCACCATATTTCATGCATTCTTCCTGACTGCCAACTTCTCTCTAAGCCAGGTGTGTGTGTGTGTGCTTTGTGGCTGTTTTATGTCTCCAGTTTCCAGCCTTCTTTGTCACTGGTTATGCTGGGTAAAGGCAGATGGGAGCTGTGCTCAAACCACATCTGGACAGCCTCACTTCCCCTCCCAGTCAAAGCCTCCCTAAACCCACCATGCTTCCTTTTCTCTCTCATTTCCTCACCTTTCCACCTTATTCCATACCTAAGCCAACACAGAGTGCTCCACAATTAAGCCAATGCTGAGTGAGGGCATTGCCTTGATACAGACCTTCCTCGGGGCGCTTAACGACTGTCTTGCAGAATGTCTGCCCTACAGATTTGAGGTGCCTTCAATGGCCTCAAAGGCTTTTCAGGGAGTCCACCTGGCCTTCAGGTCTCTGTAACTGCCCCTTCCTCCAAATACACCCCAAACAACACAAACGCAAAGTGTTCTTCATTCATCCACATCCTCAGCTTTCAAAAACGAATTTTGTGCTCGCCATGCTCTTGTGCAATATAGCTTCCAGCATCTGCCAGCTGGTGCAGCCACCAGATCAGTTATGTGATTCTGGGAGCCCAGAAAAAATAAAACTTCTCCAAACACTGAAAAAGAGAGGGTCTGACCTGACAAAACAAAGCAATATCCTACCCAGGCACCCTCCGGCTCCTATCATTCCCAATTGGCGACACGTCCTGGGGGTGATGGGAGTTGTAGTTGGGCCCATCTGGAAAGCACCTGGTTAGGAGAGTCTTAGGAAGGCAAGAGAGCGGTCTCTCGTCCTATCACAAAAAGTTCAACATCTCCACGTCCGGAGTTCACAAGGACCAGCTCCGAGCCGTGACCTTGAAAACAGGTGCGGAATCCGCACCCGCTCCCACGCCCTGCTTTGCAAGCCGCTCTAAGCAGACTGCTTTCTCAGTGGCTTTGCCACGGGAAAGGAGGACAAAAACAGCAGATTCCGTCTGGAGGTATGAAATGGTGGTTATTGATAAGAAATATTGTGCTGGGTGGCAGAGGCTGGAAATAAAGATCGGGAAAAGCATCAGCCACTGCGTTCGGGGCCCGAAGAGGTCACCACGTCTGACCCCAGGCTGAAGCTCGCTAGAGGAATCTGCCCCCCACCCCTCTGGCCGATAGCCCAGCTGAGCCCTTTCTGTTCAGCCAGGCCAATATGTTACTCCCATTGATTGCCAGTTGCCACCCCCACTGGTTTATATTGTCGCTCTCGATGTTTTAGTGGGACAATATAAAACACACACACACACACACACGAATGTTTTAGTGGGACAATATAAAAAAAAACACAAACACACACACGGCAGGAGTTCCTTTAACTCATTCTCGGCAGGGCCCTTTTACGGCAGGAGTTCATTTAACTCATTCTCGGCAGGGCCCTTTTACCGTGCAAAGCAGGAGGATGGGTTGGAAAGGAAGAGAAAAAGGATGAAACAAGTCTTTGCCAAGGAAATTTTAAAAAACACTCCTCTTTATAAGGTCAAGAGATGGCCACACCTTTGTGGCTGATGGGATTTGCTCCCACCGGATCGAGGGAGGGCTTTCTACGGCTTCCAAAGGGGAACAGGCCCCATGATGGCAGGTGAAGCGTTGATGGACGCTCCATGCGCAGACTGAGTTGGTTGCTGACTGCTAGGAAGGTGGAACTCTCTGTTTAAAGGACCAGCTTCACAAGAAGGGGTCAGTCCCTCTCACCCAGACCCCACGCCAACGGCTGCCCCCCAGCGGTTCTGCATTCTAGCTCTGCCCGCCTCCCCCTCCTCAAGGAGAGCTACAAGGAGAGGCCTTTGTGGCATAGCTGTTGGAGAGCTGGGCTGAGACTGGAGAGGGTCCAGGTTTCTAGTCCTCATGGAGGCCAACTACACTTTGGGGTGGTGGAAAGGAGGGGCGTCCCTCACCCTTTCCCTCTACCCACCCCTCCTCCAACCACCCCCCCACCCAGCCAGCACCCCTCCCCCTCCCTCTCACCTCCAGCTCCTTGAAATAAATGCAGCTTCGGGCCCACTCCACAATGGCGAAGAGGGTCTGGTCGGCCATCCGGCACATGAGCCCGAAGGGGCTGAGCTTCTCGTGGCGGCCCTTGCTTTGCTCCTGCTGCAGGCAGGCCAGGATGCGGCCCTTGACCTGCGCCTCGTCCGGCTCCAGCTGCAGCAGCTTGAGAATCACGTCGGGGATGTCCGGCGCCGTCGTGGTTGGCGGGCCCACTCCACAATGGCGAAGAGGGTCTGGTCGGCCATCCGGCACATGAGCCCGAAGGGGCTGAGCTTCTCGTGGCGGCCCTTGCTTTGCTCCTGCTGCAGGCAGGCCAGGATGCGGCCCTTGACCTGCGCCTCGTCCGGCTCCAGCTGCAGCAGCTTGAGAATCACGTCGGGGATGTCCGGCGCCGTCGTGGTTGGGTTGGGG